CCTGATGGATTTCAGATTTCCAGATTCCAAATTTCCAGATTTCTAGATTTCCAGATTCCAGATTTCCAGTGTGCAACTTTAACAAAAAAAGTGTGTAACTTTAACAGAAAACTGTCTATCAAACTGCACCTCCGGATCTTGTCCCGATCATTCTTGCGACTCAAATTCACTACCAGCCCATGGTTTCTAATCAACCAATCTAGAAACCCAACGCAAATGTAGAATTCACATGCTCATCTACTTGGGATCAAATTAGAGAGAAAAGAAACAAGCTCACAATTTTGGTCAACAACATTTTCAAGTGTTTCTGCTGCTATAAACCAGTAAAGACACCATTGATCACAATTTTTTGGCAGGGCAGTTTGCTAGAAATATCTAAAATATCACTACCAAGCATGGATTGCCGGATGGAGCCACAACTACACATACAAATCAGCAACCAAATCTACTATTTCTACTCATAATAACTATAATGATCTTGTTGTGCAAGATCAAACTAACAGCCAACAAGAACAACTAGACAAAGTTGAGAGGTTCCAGAGGAGAGAAAGTGAGAGAAAAGCCTTAAAGAACCAAGAAAATTCCTTTTGAAGAACCGAATTATGAGTTGACCCTGAAGAACGTGGAATATTTTTGCCTCTTACAGTTTGTGCGCTACTTGCATCAACAGGTGAAATAAGATTAGATCCAACAACCCCTAGAATATCTTGAACATTCAATCCAGGGTTGTTTTGTAGCAACTGACTGAAAAATTGTTGCATTTCTTCAAGATGAATGTAGAATATTTCATCATAGTAATTGAGAGAATCATCACTAAAGCAATATTGGTGGTGCTAGTTGAGGAAATCCTGATAAGAGAAGATAGGCTTCAGGTTAGTGATATTGGGGCAATGTTTTGCCACAACAATTAACCCATCATCACTTATCTTGTTAGTCTTCCACCCATCAATGTGAAGCTTCCTTAGAAGCTTACAGTTTTGAGAAACAGTGTTTAGACCATTATTAGTGCATTTAGGCGTTTCCATAAGGTGCAGAATTTCAAGAATGGAACATTTAGAAATAGCAGTAAGACCAGTGTCACTGACCTGAAGCCTCTCAAGATTAATTTCAACAAGTTCACTGACTTGTTCAGCAATCACTTTCATAATCTTATCTAAATCTCCAGAACAACGGAAAAGCTTTAGCATTCGCAAACTCTTCGATCCAATAATCAGCGGTCCAAAACATTGTCCATTATAGAGTTCCTTCAGGCAAATAACTCTCAGAGAACCCCCTGCAACACCAGGACCAATTGGCTCAGCTACAGCCCCATCTGTGATACCATGCAGCCGTTTCATGGACAACTCTTCCTGAGCCGAGCAGTTATTCAACACGGAGTTCATCCCTTTAGCTCCAAAAGCACATTAGTACAATAGTAGAAAAATACAAGAAATTTCATAGAGGTTTCAAAATGAAGGTGCAACACAAATACAAAGAGGAAATTTCATTTGCAGATTATCTAGCAAATCTTGTTATGGAGGAATAAGGCAAATTAGAATACATATCTTTCTCTAAATTACCTATGCAAGGTAAAATATTTCTCAATATAAACAAAGTACAAGCTCCTAAAATCAGGTTTAGTGTCAGAAAATTTCAAATGGATGACAAGAAATTAAGAAAAACACTACTCCAACATAAGAATTTTAACAGTGTTAAAAATAAGAAAGTTGTCAGTACTTAATATAACATATATAAACAAACTTATCATGTGTCCCACTCAAATGAACTGATGTTATCTTAAATAAGTATTAAACTAAGGGTCAACAACATTCTTGCACCCTCTTACATTTAAAAGTTCAGAATTTAAGTGTATTGTTAATGTGAAAAATAACATACCTTTTCAAAAACTGAAGCATGAGTTGAGCCAGAAGAATTTGAAAGACTTTGCCCTTTTACAGATCTGTATTTTTTGACTATAGGATTGAAGGTGGTATCCCTCCACTTGTTGAGTTTGTTGTTCCAAAGGTGCAGAGAGAAGCTGTAAAGGTTTTGTGCGCTATCACTCCCAAGTTCAATCAACTGACAATCACAGAAAAAGAAATCAAATACCAGAATTGCAGTCATCAGGTTAATAAGAGGCTGCAAAATATATTACCTGCCTTGTTCTATTTACGTCATTTCTTATAAGAAGATAATAAAGACAATTCTGAATATATTTACTTTGAGTCTTTGACAGCATGAAGTCGGTCATTGAAAGATACAACTAAACAAGGGAGGAGAGTCATCAATTGGCAACTCCAACTTCTGAGGTTAGGGTAAGTTTCACTGGTTAATTTGCAGTCAACTAGTCAAAGAAAAATATGCATAGCTAAGCTTTCTATCATAACCACTTCATGTCATTGGACATAATCTAGGAAATACCAAGGGACTTGTTGAGTAATTGAGGCATAGAATTAACAACCTAAAATCTCAGGTTCAAGGCCTTCTATAACACATAATATGCGCATATCTACTCAACCATGATGAGCTAATTTCTGGACATCTGTAAGGTAGGCTGCAGCAAGCTTTTCGGTGAGATAGTCAAGGTTCGAGCAAATTGATTATGGTGTACTTTTGTGTATACAACTTTGTGGAGTTCCTCAAGTGCTCACCTCACCAGCAACATCACTCAATCGGTGTGAAAATAGACAATTTTAAAGATATTTACAAGCTTTCAGATAAATATTTCAGTATTGGCTTGCTTCTCATGTCCATGCTACCTCAAACTAAAAGGCAACTTACTCACACATAGTCATAAATAATCTAAAAGCAAACAAAATGAAGCACAAACATTTCAAAACTCAATTTACAGTACCACTCTAGAACACCTGGCCAACTTAAATTGACAACAAGCTTAAACTATATGTAACATAATAATATTGAAATTCTGAAAAATGTGAAGATTATATAGATCTAAAATTGCATCGACCATTTTAAAAATGCATAAAATGAAAAGTTCATCAAATAAATTAAGATTTTTGAATACCAGCAATAGAGAAAGACAACTGAACGAGAAGAAGGCTGGCATATATGAGTCGAGTGACTGAATCTAACTCCATCACCACAGCCTATATCCGCTTCCGTAGACTCCTCAACTCCTCCAAACGATGTTGAAATTCATCAAATTGTTTCTCCAGTTTCCCAAACGAAGGCGTAGAAGAGGAGAAATGACAGTGACAATAGGATCTGCCGAAAGAAGAACACTAACAAAGTAGATAATTACTACTTCATTCAATGTCTAGCATGCCCAGCAGTGGATAACTGATGTCAACAGATCCAAGAAGGGGAATATACTCCGATCATCTTACATGAACACTAAAACAAGTTGCATAACAATCAGTTGCATAAGAGATACGCCTCGAGTTTTTTTTAGATTCAGTTACTAGTAACTAACTAGTTCCACTTTGTCCAAAACTAAATACAGATATTCACTGCACAAGATCAAACTAAAACAATATATTAAACGCAAACATATTGTTTTAAAATAGGATGCTTTATGAAAGGTAAAATATCCACTAAAAGTTGCAGGAAACACAAGAATATCATGTCTCCTTTTCAGGATCCAGATGGAATCTGAATACCCGACTACCTAGTGCAACAAAAAAATTGAATATATTAATCAAATGTAAATTAGTCAAAGTGTTAAACATTGAATGAGAACATAAATTATAGTTATTATACATGGAACACCCAGGTGAACCACACACGAGAATGATTTAAAGTATTCGGTAGTCAAAGCACATACATATTTTAAATAACAATTTCTTTCCTGTGCATCCAATTAAAAGCTTTTGAATATATTACTGATAAGAAAAAACTTGTGAATATACACAGTTTGAAATGAACAAACCTCTGAGACTGAAAACAAATAGATTATTGCCTGACAGAATTGCTAAAAAACATTTGTGTTTACACTGTCCTAAAGCAGTATTTAAGTAGTTAGGTTAGAGCTAAGGTACAAAGAGAAAGAAATTGGTCGTAGACAATAGTTGAAGACTATACCATTTTCTATCTTCATCACACTCTAGAGCATTATTTTTATTTTCTGTTTCATGTCTGAATTATCATCCATCTCCGGGGCAATAAGAGTAAGGTTCCTGTAAATTTCACGCACAAAACTGCAGATATTCTCTGCAAGATCACGTTCCTCTTCTGAAATTCGACCAATTGCTAACCTCATTAATTCTCCTGTCAAATCCGCAAGCTAAAATGAAAAAGTAAGCAATATATCTTAGCATTGCTTAACTTGAAAAATACAAACAGATGAGACTCTTACCCCTAAGATATAGTCTAAGATGTTAATCTGCAACGGTTCAACAGAAGGAACACTAACTAAGTAGATTAAGTTACAATAGAGAATTTCTGGGTGGAAATTAGAATGAGACGAAAATAGGGTTTTGTGTTTGAATGAATTGGGGCAAAACGTTTTTTGAAGTTTAGTTCTTTGGAAATAGAGCTTTTCTATTTTTTTATGAAATCTTTTTTTGGTCAATTAGAAATAGGAGGGAGTGTTCAATTTATTGGAGGGAATACAATATTTTAGTGATAATTTTAGAAAAACCATATTGCTACACTTGTAAAGTGTTGTTTTTAGAATTATAAAAATAGCACACTTTAAAAGTGTAGTCATATGTGTAAATAAGTATTACCAATTATATCATGATATGTCAATGCTTATAAATGTAGCCTATACAACTAAAGGGCATGCTTTAAAAGTGTTGCTAATGTCATCGTGGCCAAAAAGTAAAACTTAAGGCTTCGCTTTAAAAGCGTACCCAAAAATATTTTAGGCAACACTTTACAAGTGTTGTCCAGATTTAGTGTGACCTTAGGCCTAAAATGGTGTAGTGTAACTAATACGCTTGCCTACATTTCTTATCAAAATGTAGGGTCCGGTGTTCCCGACTCTAATTTTCGTGTCTACTATCTTTGTAGAGGAAAGACGTGAAGATTGGTGAGTCCTCATAACAATTCAAGGATTTACCAACCATTTCCTTATGTTCATTCATTTTATGTTTTGAATATTATAGTATGGGTTGTGTCCCAATGACTCTTTGTCTTAGATGGTTTAGAGACAACTTGTATGAGACTTCTGCTTCGTTTTATAGAACTTTGATTGTATTGAAAATGGATTTATATTTAATCGTATTTCTATTATCTTGACTATGAAAGCTAAATGGCATAAATGAGTCCTCTCACGGTCTTGTATTCCATGTTACGTGTAGGGTGTAACCCTGGGTTGTGACAAACTTGGTAATCAAAGCACAAAGATTTAGAATGGTTCTAGGATGTCTCAAAACTACGTCTAGTAGAGTCTTGTTCATGAGTGTGAAGCGTGCCATATTTATGAATAAGAAGCTACAAGATGATTAGGAAACTTTATTTATTCATGACTCTAAGACGTGCGATAGAGTTTAACTCTATGAGGTCTCTCTTCAAATCCTTATCTGATGGTCTACATGATATGACTACTCTAAGAGCTTTTGCTAGAAGGACTGAGGGAGAAGAGATTGGTCAAGTATCTCCTCTTCAAGCTCCTCAAGCTTCGATTGACCCTTTAGCCGAACAAGTGACTAATGCAGAGTTGAGGACTACTTTCTAAGTGTTGGCTCAAGCTGTGATGGACCAAGCAAATAGGGAAGTTGTAAACCCCATGAACCCAAATGTGGGTACAACGGCATCTAAAGTAAGGGACTTCACTGGGATGAATCCTCTGGATTTCTATGGTTCAAAGGTTGATGAAGATCCACAAAAGTTCATTGATGAGGTTTACAAGATTATGTCTATTATGGCAGTGACTCCGATGGAAAAGGTGGAATTGTCTGCTTATAAACTAAAGGGTGTGGGTCAAATTTAGCTTCACCAATCTAATGAAGCAAGACCGGTACATACGGGTCCCCTTAAGTGGAAAATGTTTTAGTGAGCTTTTCTTGATAGGTTATTTGCTCTTGATATTAGTGAATCAAAAGGGCATGTGTTTATTAATATCTTCTAAGGAAATATGAGTGTCAAGAAATATTCTTTGAGGTTCACTCAATTGTCCAAGTATGTTGATTCTAAACTTCTCGACTCTATGGCAAGGATGAGAAAGTTCATTTCGTGTGTGTTTGATTTAGCAGTGAAAGGGTGTCGTACGACTATGCTTGTTCATGATATGGATATTGCTCGTCTTATGACTCATGCCCAACATATTGAAGAGGAGAAAATTAGAGAGAGGTCTGGGGGAACAAGAGGTCCAGAACCGGTGATGGTAACTTCTCTTATGCAAGGTCCGATGGACATGCTCGTACTAAGTATAGATGAAGGTTTTTCGAGAAAGTGTCCTCTAATGCTCCTAAGTTCAACAAAGAGGGGTGTCTAACCCTAAACCTGAAGGAGGTGTTAATCGGCCTTCTTTGTTGGATTGTTTTAAGTGTGGAAAAAAGCATAAAGGTATATGTCTAGCGGGTTCCAATGCTTGTTTTGTTGTGGAAACATGGACCACAAGATAAGAGATTGTCCTTTAGTCTCTACGAATGAGGGAGATAGTCGTTGTAGGGCTCAACCCTATCATTCATCCGGTCCAACTGGTTCGGGTACTAGTGCTCCCAATCAAAATAAGTACTATGCACTTCAGACTCGTGATAAACAAGCGGGTTCTCCCGATGTGGTTACCGTTATTTTGAAAGTCTTTCAACTTGATGTGTATGCTTTACAAGATCACGGTGCTACCTTATCTTTTGTGAAGCCATATGTGGCTGTGAGATATGTTGTGCTCCCTTATGTGTTATTAGATCATTTTTCTCTCTCTACTCCTGTTGGTGATTCTATGTTGGCTGAAAGGGTTTATAGAAAGTGTCTCATTTCATATCCTATAGAGCTACTATTGTTTATTGGTAGAGATTTATATGTTAGATTTTGATGTCATCCTTGGGATGGATTGGTTGCACTCTTGTTATGCTTCTATTGCTTGTAGAACCCGTGTAGTCAGATTTCAATTCCCAAATGATCTTGTCCAAGAAAGGAAGGGGGGAAATTATATGCCTAAGAGTCAGTTTATCTCGTCTTAAAACTAGGAGGATAATTTTTTAGGGTTGTGTGTACCATCTACTTAGGGTGAAGGATGTGGATTCCAAAACCCCTTCTCTTGAGTCGGTCCATATTGTTAATGAGTATCTCAAATTGTTCCTAGTTGATTTGCCCGGTATTCCTCTAGAAAGGGAAATAAATTTT